AAATAGCCGTCGTGGTTCACGTTTTCTGGACGACGCTGAATTTGGTCATTTCACGTTGTTGTTTTGCTGAGGACAGCAAAGAAATGTACCAAGAATTATAGCGCACGTGCACAGCCATTGTTCTGCTCGTTAAACCTTTTGTTTAGCGACGTTCCCGTTATTGTTACCGTCGGGGTTTCTTAAAATCCCTAATATTGTCAGAGATTTCTAGACCCACGATACCAAGATTACCGCGAAAAAGCTGTCCCGTAAACTGTTTGCCACAGGGATCTGGAGGACCCCTACTCTCCTACCCTCCACGAAAGTAATCGCGTCTTGCAATACCCCTTTCAATAGTTCCTGCCGCTATCTTGAACTTTTTGGTTTCTTTTAAGAGCTCGAGATAGCGATGAATACTTGTAGCTAAAATTTGGATGCATGGAGAATTTGACGTATCTAATGCTTACCTTGTAGTCGACAAGCAACTCTGCACGAATCCATGCAGCATCACAACCTCCTCCAATTAGGAACGTTATGTATCTTCCCGTTATTTTAAAGACTGGAGAAGTGAGAGTTCCTTTGGGTCCGTCTCCTTGAGATGCTCCGGGTTTATCATTCGGAGTGTGCCTGTCTTCAAATCCTCCAATCCAATAGTCACCTTGTTGTTTGGCAGACTGTCCTCTTTTACGAGCTGTAGGGTTATCACCATAAGTCGGCTGGTTGTTGAACACTGTACCGGTCTTAAACCAACCACCGAGCGTTCCATCTTCAAAGTCGAACTTGCAAGCTTCAAACAAAACAAAGTTAGTCTGCCTACAGTATTTATGAGGTTGCTGCAGTTCTCTCAAAGTTGCAGTATTTTTTAACAGCTGTAGTTCTTTACTAATTCATTACTATCTCTTTAGCTACCGCAAAATGAAACTTGAACTGATGAAAAAGCGCGCGTGCTTAGGCATAAATGGTTTTAGATTAACTCATCATATTTCTTTACAAGCATGAAGACCTATCTTTTTTCTTTTTATTGTATTTTTCGCAACAGCGCTTGGTAGGGAACAATTAGAGAAAGTTTCAAAAAAATCGTTCGACAACTTTTATTTCTGAGGAATCACATTAAAGAGAATCATGGCTAAAAACAGTTTTGTTCCAAATCCCCAGCTGGTGTTTGTGTTAAACTGTTTCAGTGATTTGAAGTCGATAATTCTTTGCCTGTTTTGAATGGTGGGCGTTTCCTTTCAGCTAGTTTAGGATTTCTAATTTCCCCCTCCCCGTCATGTTTATTTTCGAAAAGTTTGATGGGAAATTATGACGTCAAAGCAAGATTGAACGTGTTTAAAATACAACAGTGCGTGAATCTAGAAATAAAAGTTCTTCTTATCGTTTATAATTTACATTGCTGATGAATATGTTCAGTTCCAACGAAATATCTTCTTCTGTAGACTTCATATTGAGATCTCTGACCGCGCAATGACTTCATAAATTATCATAAAGTAAACATGGTGACGCCCAGGTGACTTAAACTGAAAACCAAACACTTCGTATTCGAATCGCGAACAGAGATATCAATTTAAAACCCCAGAATCAGTTAAATAAAACTATTAGGTATACTTTCAAACTTGAAGTGCCTTTCAGTCAAGATTCCCTTAATAGAAGTACACTGAAGCTATAAGGGGTATTATAAAGAGTTATGAGTGCGCAAGATTAGAAAACTTTGAAAACCTGACAAGGTTTGAGTGTCTGACGATGTTGTTTAACGCTGAAGACAGCAATAAGTAAAGCTTGTCGGCCATTTCATAGCCTAATCGGCTTTAAGTTAGTAAAGTCTGTGTCAGGCCAAACGGCTAACACAGCCAGAGCTTATCCTGGGTTCTGTGCTCCTGTCTGTATAGGATCTTGGTCTATCGCAGGGTTAGCCCCCAGCATTAAGCCCGCCTGTACCCTTTTTTACACCTGGTTGGAGAAAGGCACCAAGAACACAACGCAATGACCCCGGCCAGGGCTTGAACCCAGACCACTCGATACGGAGAGCAGAGCTCAAGCCATTGAACACCCTTACCTCCACAGCTTTATAACTGATTTAAAAGACTGTGATGACGTATTTTCATAATACCGAAGCACAAAGTGAACTTCAAAATAAAACAATGATTTTGGACCCAACTTCTAGCATTTTAAGGTTTCATTTAGTTGAGGATAGGTTTGGCCACCTCAAGAACGAATCAAAATTTCGTAACAAAGCTACCTTAAGGACGTTCGCGCGAAAATATTCCAGTCGATAGATTTTTTCTTAATTTTTACTGCAGTCAGATAATGAGTTACTTGTGTCAGGAATGCCAAAAACTTGGGGGTCACTGACTTCGTTTCAGAGATAAAGGGTGTGGAAAACAGCCCTGATTTGAAAATTGGCGCACGTAATTCAGCAAGGTCTACATGGGTTTATAGTTAAAAATATCAAAGGTGAGTCAACGGAAGCAAACGATCTTAGTCATATTTTGTAGAAGTGGATCTGTTGCGTAAATAATTCCAAATGCTGTCAACATTTTTACCAAACTTAACCCTTCAAGAGCCATTTGAAATCGCTGCACAGATAAACGAAGTGCTAAAAATAACGGAATTCGATGGTGCATTTT